TGTAGAGTCTTATTTTGCATTTTGCACAGTAGCATTGTGTGATACATGTGCATGTAGACCTTTTGCACCTTATTTTAATACTAAATCTGTCTTTTAGTCAGACTGAAGATGAATGAGTGTGAGCTCAGTGATGACGGAACCCTCTCCTACAGACATGTTTGCCTCAACCTTGAGTCCCATATTACTTAAAACATTGAGTGGAATAATCTTTCATCTTCCCACAGAGCAAAGCTGCTTTGGGAGCTGCTGTGTAACATTTCATCTTAAAGAAATCTGGCTTCTCCTGTTAGAAGACGTTTAGAGGAATAGTTCTGACATTTTGGGAAATATGCTAATTTGCTTTCCAGTGAGTTACATAACTATGAAACTACAGCCAGAAGTTAGTTAGCCTGGCTTAGTACTAAGACTGAAAACTAGGCATGGTAGTTACAGTACAGTGTATTGGCCTTTTCATCAAACTCTCAAAAGACAGCAAATAAGCTTATTTTGCAAAATGTCAAACTATTCCTTTAAAGGAAGAACATGTAGAAACAGTTTTCTAAAGGTGATTGCTTTGGACTTTAAAGGAAGAACATGTAGAAAGGAACAGTTTTCTAAAGGTGATTGCTTTGGTGTGGAAAATCAGGGATTAGTTAGGGAAGATGTCTTCTGATGCCTAGCTTTATGTGTGGGTGTGCTGGTGTTTCTTTCCCTCAAACTGCTGCTACAGTTGCTGCCATTTGACTTCATAATTAACTGTTTGGTTACACTTCTGTACACCTCCATTCATTGCAGGTTTTTACACTGGAGAGAGTTCTTTTACTTTTTGTCTCAGAGGCCATTTTCAAGCAGGATTTCCTTCCTTCCTGGCCCTCCCCGTTGTTATATTGTGCTGCATGTTTCCTGCTTCAGCACACACACTCATACACATCCCCCACTGTCTCCACTGAGCCAGGGAAAGCAGGCCTTTGCCACAGATGCCCGCTTACCAACAGTGAGCTGCATAGACGATAGGACTGCACTGACCCCTACACTGAATAGCTTCAGCTCAGGAGGCAAAGGTGGTGGTGTTTGCTGCCCAGAGGACTGAGGGTGCTCTTTGAGTGCGCATGGTCATGGTCAGCTGCATGGTCATGCAATGCTTGTGTGCAAAACGTAGCAGAATGGCCAGGCTATGTTAGACAATTGCCAGGATGTTAATGGAGTGTGAATGGGGTTATTGTCACCAGGGGGCCCACAAACATGCACACGCATGGTGAGATCAGTTTGTCTGCAGTGGCGGTATAGCACTCATATTTATTATTACCATAATTTGGGATAACAAAGTTGAAAAAATGACTGTTGGCAAGCTAATTAAATATAGATATGTTGCCCATTAGACCATTTTAGGGTGTTGCCTGTAAAATGTAATTACTATTTATGTAGTTTGGGAATTGAAGTGTCCCACAAAATGTAGCTGTCTCTACATTTTTATCTTGATGAAGTGTCATCTGAAATGTCTAGACAGGTTTGCATGTTTCCTCTGTGGTTTAAACTCATACTTTCCATGTCGCGCAGGCTTCTGTCCATCCTGCATTTCTGGGCTCAGTCTATAAACATCCAAAACTGCCAGCCAGTCATGGTGGGAAATTCCACTTCTCTAAATTATTTAATTAAGCACTTAATGAGATTAGCTATAGAAACTGAGAATGAGACAAGTGTCTCTCTGTCTCTAATTTTGCTTAGTCCCCAGACATCCTTTCAATGCCTTTCTGCCATCCTTTTTTATTTCAGTTTCCATTTGATTTCCAGTCTCTGAAGCTTTTTGTATGTGACATAACACCAGTGACTGGAGCTTGTTTGAGGGAAGGACTTATTCTCTACTTTCCACTCATACTGGACTTTTGAAATCAACTTGGTTTCACTCAAA